TGAGTGCCTTTTAAAAGAAGATAGAAAACTCCGCCATTTTGAACCCTTATTACGTGTTGCCCACATCTTGGCGCAATATTTTTAATAGGTGCGTTTTAATCATCCGCTTCTGCTTCGGAATTGTTGGTTTTCTTGTTTTAATCTGACAGGTTAAAACGACTAAACCGACAATTCCGGAAGCAGAAGCGGATGATTAAAACGCACCTGATATTTTGCTTGCTGCTGTCAGTGTCAGTCGTGTCAGTGAATATTATTTTTGAAGTCACAGTTTATTGCTAAAGAATCAGTTAGCTCACTCGGACCAGTTGAAAGTTCCAAAATAACATCCACTCCAGGGATACAAATTCAGGATACGCAGAAGACTGCTGTTTTATTATAGGCGGTTGTCATATATTGTATTATCCGAGTTGCACAGTGTATAAACTGAAACATTGAGATCAAAAGTGCCGACGCAGAGTGAGCGATCTGATTCTTTAGCTGTAAACTGTGTCACAGGGTTCAAAATGGCCGCGCCCTATGTTGGGCGTGTCGGACCTCTCTCTTGCCTCGTATAGTAATCAAAGTATGTGCTCGAAGTGTATTAATGACATAAATAGGTTTATTTTGTTCGCAACATCTGTGTTTACGTGTCAAATTGGTCCGAAAATGACATCATTATTACGTTACTTTTGCGTCAAAAAATCACATCGACGTATTTGACCAAAATTCAACGTGATTATGACGTGAAACGACGTCCGGTGCTAGCTGGGACATCATGTTGTTTGGGTCTATCTTGTCGATACATATGTTGTTGTTGGTGTTGTTGTTATTGTTGTTGTTGTTGTTGTTGTTGTTGTTGTTGTTGTTGTTGTTGTTGTTGTTGTTGTTGTTGTTGTTGTTGTGCTCCATAGTTTGATACGCAAGTATGATTATCAGCTCCCTCATTTACATTTTTGTTGTAGTTTATCTGCATAAATTCGTTTTCTGACTGCGCCATTGTAATAAAGTATCTTCAGAATTAAAACAACTTTTATTAACTAAGTCGGACTCGCGCATGAAAGGTTCCGCACCATCGTACAAGATTTAATACTATGTAGGTACTTTTTAAATACTTTATTAGGATCTAGCAAAAAAATATTTATAGTAGGGAGCCTTATTTTTATTATTTGTTTTTATAGTGACAACAGAAATACACATTCTGTGACAATTTCAACTGTTTACCTATTACTGATAATGAGATACAGCTCGCTGACAGACACACTTACAGCCGAGACTTAGTAATAGGGTCCCGTTGATTACCCTTCGAGTACGGATCCCTCAGGATTGTTCCAGACCAATTTAAGAATGTGAATTTTTTTTACAATGAAATTGTATAGTTTTGTGCAGTTTCAGACATTTGATATAAAAGTGGAAACTGACACTACTGACAGTGATGAGTGATGTAAAATCCAAGATAAGTCGGCATTAGTGACCCATCTTCGCCTTGGCTCCATAAAAAAATATTAAAAATGATCTGGAACGAATACAACACCTAATCATTTATTTATAAGTTACAAGCCAAAAACTTACCGATCCATTATTCACAATGCAATGACGCAATCACAGTGTATGTCTGAGAACGTAACTTACGACTTACATTTACGTACGTTCCCAGATCACGACGAACAAGAATAAATATTCGGGGAATTCCCCGTTTCCATGATGACAATACCGAAAAATTTCTGACTTAATCGGCATCTGCCAGAGTATAATACAATTATTATATAATCTGTACTAGGGTTGCCAGATTTTAAAAATTGAAAAGCGGGAGGTGTGGGTAATGCATTTGAGGGGAAAATAAATAGCTCGAAAAAATTTTTTTGGGTGCCACGCCCTGAATATGCCGTATTTTGTCATAAAAAATACGTGTGGCACTCGGGGACTGCCGCGGTAAAGCTATTGCATAGCATTTTTTATCAACTTATGCAATTATAATTATTTATTTTATTTATGCAGTATTTTTTTTCTTTGATATTAATTCAAGTTTTTTCTTTGATATTAATTCTAGTTACACTTTTTGAGCGTGGTGACCGATAAGAAAACAATTTTTTTTCTTTTATTGAATAAATGAGAAGTTTATATTGTTTAAAATATTTTTATTATCTTACAATACATGTAGGTTATTCAGGAATTTTTATCATTGAAACTATAGGTTTATGGTAACTGAAATAAGAAATATCTGGAAAATACCGCGTCAATGGTGGTCCCATATTTTGTTGTGGATTCTTGTGGATCATTATTCATTTTCAAATTCAATTTTTGCGAAATTGTGTCTAAAAGAGGAAGAATCAGTTATGAGCAGTTAGCAGCTAGTCTACACGCATACGTCTAGTCGCACGCACACAAACACCGTGCCGAAGTCTGCCGAACTGAAACGACGTTAGACGATGACGGCTTTCCATTTTTCCATTTTTCCATTTTTCCATTTTTCCATTTTTCCATTTTTCCATTTTTCCATTTTTCCATTTTTCCATTTTTCCATTTTTCCATTTTTCCATTTTTCCATTTTTCCATTTTTCCATTTTTCCATTTTTCCATTTTTCCATTTTTCCATTTTTCCATTTTTCCATTTTTCCATTTTTCCATTTTTCCATTTTTCCATTTTTCGATGATTTTTCGATGATTTTTCGATGATTTTTCGATGATTTTTCGATGATTTTTCGATGATTTTTCGATGATTTTTCGATGATTTTTCGATGATTTTTCGATGATTTTTCGATGATTTTTCGATCATTTTTCGATGATTTTTCGATGATTTTTCGATGATTTTTCGATGATTTTTCGATGATTTTTCGATCATTTTTCGATCATTTTTCGATCATTTTTCGATCATTTTTCGATCATTTTTCGATGATTTTTCGATGATTTTTCGATGATTTTTCGATGATTTTTCGATGATTTTTCGATGATTTTTTGATGATTTTTCGACGATTTTTCGATGATTTTTCGATGATTTTTTGATGATTTTTCGATGATTTTTCGATGATTTTTCGATGATTTTTCGATGATTTTTCGATGATTTTTCGATGATTTTTCGATGATTTTTCGATGATTTTTCGATGATTTTTCGATGATTTTTCGATGATTTTTCGATGATTTTTCGATGATTTTTCGATGATTTTTCGATGATTTTTCGATGATTTTTCGATGATTTTTCGATGATTTTTCGATGATTTTTCGATGATTTTTCGATGATTTTTCGATGATTTTTCGATGATTTTTCGATGATTTTTCGATGATTTTTCGATGATTTTTCGATGATTTTTCGATGATTTTTCGATGATTTTTCGATGATTTTTCGATTTTTCGATTTTTCGATTTTTCGATTTTTCGATGATTTTTCGATTTTTCGATTTTTCGATTTTTTTTTCGATTTTTCGATTTTTCGATTTTTCGATTTTTCGATTTTTCGATTTTCGATTTTTCGATTTTTCGATTTTTCGATTTTTCGATTTTTCGATTTTTCGATTTTTCGATTTTTCGATTTTTCGATTTTTCGATTTTTCGATTTTTCGATTTTTCGATTTTTCGATTTTTCGATTTTTCGATTTTTCGATTTTTCGATTTTTCGATTTTTCGATTTTTCGATTTTTCGATTTTTCGATTTTTCGATTTTTCGATTTTTCGATTTTTCGATTTTTCGATTTTTCGATTTTTCGATTTTTCGATTTTTCGATTTTTCGATTTTTCGATTTTTCGATTTTTCGATTTTTCGATTTTTCGATTTTTCGATTTTTCGATTTTTCGATTTTTCGATTTTTCGATTTTTCGATTTTTCGATTTTTCGATTTTTCGATTTTTCGATTTTTCGATTTTCTTTTATTGAATAAATAAGAAGTTAATATTGTTTAACGCCGCACCGTTGTGCCGGTCGGAGTGGGGGGTGTTTGGTTTTTTTTTTTTCGTTATCGCGTTACGGAATTTCTTGATTCGGTCGCCGCGCTCAAAGCCCGCGATAAAAGCTATGCAATAGCTTAAAAGCATGAAAATGTTACAACAAAACATAACTTTATGAAACTAGAAATAAAGATAATTTTTTTTGAAACTACCTTTACCAGGATAAAACGAATAAAAAAAATAGGAACAAAACAAAATTTTATTTTTAAAACCTTAAACAAAAAAATATACTTAAAACAAAGAACAAATTAAGTAAAATCGTCATCCTAAAATGTGGGACACATCAAACATATTAAAAAATACCTACACAAAATTTGTAGGCATATAAAAACATATTTTAATATTATTATTTTTTAATTTAATTAAGAAATAGGTGGATTTTTAATATTTGTGGCTAGATTTAACCTTTTTTATAATATTTGCACCATCTTTTTTTAAGAATTTAGCAAATTCTTGGCAAGATTGGGTAAAATTATGTTTGACCATTAATTCAGCTTCTGTTTTTATGTCCAGCCTGTTTATCTCTTTTCTCCATGCCAAACCCATTAAATTAAAAATTCTTTCGTTCATGGAATTTGAATGTGAAAGGGCGAAAACTAAGGAGGAAATTTTAAAAAAAATTGGGGCATTACTTTTTTTGAAATAGGCTACACATTACTGATCTGCAGTTAGCTCATCAAAATTTCCTAAAAAAATTTCCATAAAATCTAGTAAGGTAGCATATTCTTCAAAAAGTAAATCTTCGTTAACTTCGATATGGAACTCTTTGCAAATTTTTAAAAACTCATTTAAATCTGGCTTGTTTTGCAAAATCATTGCACTAAGTGATTTAAACTTATTATCATCATCAAAATTATACCTACAAATTAATTTAAATATATTTTTATGCAAGCGAAAACATTTGCTGTTTAATTATTTTTAATTTTTAAATTGTTTAGTTTTTTGTGTATTTTAATTAATAGTGCAGTAAACAGATGAAATTGACCATTGGGGTGCACCTGTGCAATCAATATATCAATTGTGTAGCAAATTACACAATTGTGTAGCTTGGAACAATCCTGAACCCTAACTAAAAAAATACCTACTTCCAAACATTGTTTTGTTGTTTCAGAAGCTTCTGGTATGGTGATGACAGTCATATTCTCCTCCCACATGCGAAGAAACGTCGTCATATCGTTGCAAAATGCTGGATTGGGTAATTTACGACATTGAAGATACAACTCCCACTGAAAATATAATAGAAAAACTGGTTAGTTTTCCGCCACTCGTATTACAGAATGATGAACTACTCAAGCAAAATAAGTTATACCTTGTACGTTAATCGTAAAAATGGTGTACACTATACAATAGTTGAAATTGTAGGGTTCTATTATACAAATAATAAATCTGCAAGAGTTGAAGCTAGACAATTTAATGCTGTTCATCTCGAAAGAACTTCAACAGACAAGTGTAACGGCGTCTGCATACCTCCCCTCTGATGCAACAACGCCACCACCCAGTAAAGAGATGGAGGATCTGATTGAATAATGCTTGGAACAATAGTTTGAGCTGGTAATAGATTGCGACTCAAACGTTCATCACTTCAGTTGAGGCAGTAAGGATAACAACACTAGAGGTAAGTCACTTTATGATTATACAATTACCAAAAATCTTTGTATTTTAAATAAAGGTACCACACCAAAATTTTTAAACTCTTATAGTCAAACACTAATAGATATCACTTTACCCACAACTGGTATATATAAATCAATTCTAAATTGGCAATTTTCTGATACCATTTTGATGTCAGATCACCGCTGGTTAACATTCAAAATAAACTTGATGTTGCCGACCTCCACGCTATCTCGGAACCGCAGGAAAACGGACAGGGCCAACCTATGCCCACCTTCTCCAAGAGGCTCTGAGCGAGATGGAGGCCGAAACACCAAACAATAACATTGCTTTGGAAAAGTACACAAACACTATCCAAAGCACAATAAACAATGCCTATAAGAAATCCTGTCCTCTGAAGCTGGTCCAACACGATCAGACGACTACGCCACGGTGGGCCGCTGGCTATGTTGAGTTTGAAAAAAGTGTAGAAAGGAACTGGTTAATGGAAACTGTTCCTGAAAGGCCCAGGAATAAGCTCCTGTAAACCCGAAAATCGGCCCTGGTCCTTTTTCGAAGTTGCGTTATTTTTTTAAGGAGATGAATTGAATTCTGGCAGCGGGACCGACCACACTATAGCAAAGTGATTTCTTGTAAATAACTCTTTTGTATGATGCGTAATCAAAAAAATAGCAACGTACCGCCTTAGCCCTGATAATTATCTAGCAATGTTCAAAAAATTTGGTCGACTAGCTTTATTTTTGGTCGCACAATCTAGGATAGCGATTTTGCCGACCAAGAAGTTCGCAATTCACGGCATCTCAGATTGTGTGGCCAAAAATATTGCTAGGTGGCCAATTTTTTTGCAGACTGCTAGATAATTGCCAGGGCTAAGGCGGTACGTTGCCATTTTTTCGATTACGCATCATACAAAAGAGTTATTTACGAAAAACCACTTTGCTATAGTCTAGGCCTCCCACCGCAATCTGGAGGTGAAGTGTATATTCCGAACAATCAGATTTTTTTTGAGGTAGGAAGGTTTAGAATGAATTGTTCTCAGTGAATTGTGTGATGTATGACGATATTTATTGTGGAAGAAAAATAGAAACTCCCATAACAACATAGTGCCCAGCTTTTGAATAACAATGTTTTCACTAGTTAATAATATATAAGAATTATAACTTTTATTTATAAATGACTTGAAGAAAATTCAGTAACTGCAGCTTTCAATCTGGTCAAGTACTGTGGAGCATTAATTGCGTTGATTTTATAATTTTCCCAAAATTTCAAGAATTCTCGGTGAATGGATTCCCCCGCCTGCTCGGACCAGGTTCCCAAACCCTCTCCCTCCAAAAATTGGACACATTCGCTGATGTGTGCCACTAGCACATGGATTTTGAGCGTTTCCGTCAATCCTGTAGCTTTGAAAACCGATTCCAGTTCGCGGATATGTCTTTCTAAATGTACATCAACTGCTTTAGTAGAGAAACAAGAGTCTACGATTCGGTTCATTACTTGCAGGGCACGAATGAGCGGTAGCACCTGCAGTTCATTGACGTTGATTAAAATTTCTGGATCCTTAAGTTTATCCGCCTCCTTGAGAAGCTTCCGGCAGGCATTGCCCTCAAATACCTCACCATGATACCCTTTTTTTACCAAATTGAGCTTTTCCGGCCACAGAAGCGCCGTGTTTCGGCCTAATAGAGGCACTAAACCATCCCAGAATACATGGTTGACAAAACCTTGCAAAATGTGGAGCTCTGGTATTATACATTTTTCTAATACATGTGTCGTCATTCTCGTTAAATATTGGTAGGTTGACCGTGCTGTGAGATTCTTTAGCTTGTTTAATATTTTTACCTAGAGCACAAAATCTTTGATAATCCTCCTTTAAGTACCTGTAAGTCTTTAATGTTAAACTTTTTTCTGACTGTGCATTGTCAGCATTTCCGAGATCTTTTAAGGGCACATAACAATAGGGGCAAGGAAAACTGGAAGTTATAATCAGCAAAACTTTAAAATCAGAGACAAATCGAAAAGAAATTCTATTGATATTAATAAGATTAAATAAAAAGTGCAAATTGTAATAGGTCTCTTTTATATCTGGCACTATGCATAAAATTATTGTTCGTTTCACACTTGTTAATTTGGCTTTTGTGCCAACATGTTCCATCTTAGGTTTTTTTGTTTCCGGTTCACCAAGTGTGTCATCTGGCACATCCAAGTCACTATCGGTGTCCGGTAAAAGTGAAAAGCACACTTTGAAAAACCCTTGGGTATCTATTCTTGAATCTCAGGGAGTAGAAATTTTGAGGGAAGAATGAGACAAAAATACAAATTTTGCGCGTTGCAGATAAAGAGACAAAACCGGTTTTCTATTCCCTCGAATTCAAGAATAGCTTGGCCTCCATCCGCCATGACTTTCACAGTGTAGCTTCCTACAAGTTTTCTTTCATCCACGACTGCCTCGACAAGCTCCTGCGCATCAGCCCAAATACATGGACGTTTTTCTCGTGGTCCCTTACTACCAGGAGCATCAAACTCGAACTCACTATCAAAATAAAAGTCACTCAGGGCTTTGTCTTTAATGGAAATTTGTTGAACTGCAAACGAAGGTACAGATTTTTTACCCGCACATTGTCTAACAAAAGTAACAAATTTCTTCATCGGATTATATGATGATCCCGTGTTCGTCTTGAAATTTGCAAGACTCTCAACTGGAAATTCGGGACTTTTTTCCCTTCTCGGCTTCACACATATTGTCGTTTTTGGTCCCCGGGTATTTAAATTCAGTTCAATCCCTACAGGGATCCGAGTTTGTCCGGGAGTAAGAGTTTCAGTAATTTTTTTATTTATCGCATCCGAAACGACTTGCATTTTTCTATTTTCGGGCAGTTTGTCCATCAATTTCGCAATGTTTACACTGCACGCAGCTGTGTTATTAGGTTTAACGCACGGATGATTTTTGCCTCTTGAAACTTCTTGAAAACACTTTTTACAAATTTGTAAAGTCGCATCATTGCCGTTCCCTGATCTTTTTTTCTCGAACTTCTGATCATCAGAAATACTGACCCGTTCTATTTTCCTCGATAGAATCCCGGATACTCCATTATTTGCATCAATCCGCTTGACGGGCTTACGAATATTTCCACGCCCTTTAGATAATGTCTGGTGTGCAAAAGATCTCGCCGTAATGCATATATAACAAAAACATTCTGCCGCAAGTATACTATTACGCCGAGTTTCCTTTTGCAAAATAATATCTCCATAATTTGGAAAGCATATAGCCGGCCGTTTTGTAATTCCTCGTTCCATTTCGTTGAGTGTTAAAGAGCAAGTTCCACAAATGCTGAGTGGATATTTGCTATCTGTTATAGCGAAATCTTCACAAAGAAACTTTTTAATAAGCCCGCAAAATCTTGCACTTATAAGAAAATGATCTAGTGTTTTCCTGCCCACGACAATTTTTCGACCACAAGGAGCACATATTTTATTTCTGTTCTCTTCGTGAGAGCACCGAGCTGACGGATGAGCCATTTTGGTTTCAAATAATGACCGCTTGATTTTGTTTTTATTTAGTTAACTTTTCTCGACCGCTTTAATTTCATACAACTGTGTATTACATACAACTTTGACTTTTTAAGTAGAACTGTGAACTGAAGTGTCTGGAGTTGTACTGTGTTTCTCGCCGAGATTTTCCCTAATGTATGTATAAAACCAGGTACATTGTTTACAAACAAAAAATTGGCCACCTAGCAATATTTTTGGCCACACAATCTAGGATGCCGTGAATTGCGAACTTTTTGGTCGGCAAAATCACCATCCCAGATTGTGCGACCAAAAATAAAGCTAGTCGACCAAATTTTTTGCACATTGCTAGATAATTATCAGGGCTAAGGCAGTACGTCGCTATTTTTTCGATTACGCATCATACAAAAGAGTTATTTACAAGAAATCACTTTGCTATAGTGTGGTCGGTCCCACTGCCAGAATTCAATTCATCTCCTTAAAGAAAATAACGAAAAAGGAGCAGGGCCGATTTTCGGGTTTACAGGAGCTTATTCCTGGGCCTTTCAGGAACAGTTTCCATTAACCAGTTCCCTTCTACATTTTTTTCAAACTCAACATGGCCATCGGCCCACCGTGGCACGCATGGTGGTGTCACGAGTTGGATCACCTCAGGAAAATGACTAGGAAATCTTTTAATAAGGCAAGAACCACAAAACTCAAAGAGGACTGAGGAATTTACAAATCTCACCTCAGATAATACAAAAAAAATCGTCAGACAAAAACAGAGAAATGCACGGAGATCCACTGCGAAGAAATCGAAGATTTCGCGCAGGCAGTGAAGCTTCAAAAAGCTCTCTCAAAAGATCCACACCGAAGCATTGTTGCGCTAATCAAAGAGGATGGCACGAAAACTTCCAACCTCGAAGAGAGCATCAAACTTCTGCTGTCAATACACTTCTCTGACTCGGTCATCACAGATGTGGCGGACTGGGCAGAGTAAGAATATAATCCATTTTCTATGATTGGCAAACTGCCAAAAACATTGTAGACGATGAAAAAATTATATGGGCAATATCCAGTTTCTCTCCATTTAAATCGCCAGGACCTGACGGTATCTATCCAGCCCTACTTCAGTGGGGCCTGGAAGAACTCACACCGCACCTGGTGGGTATATTCAGATCCTCGTTGGCTCTGAGGTATATCCCCAAAAAATGGAGAGAGATAAAAGTGGTATTTATACCCAAACCTGGAAGGATGGATTACACTGTCCCAAAAACTTACCGACCAATTAGTCTGCACACCGAGGAAGAAAACGTACTACATCTAGCACAATTATGAATTGTACTAGACTAACAACACTGGTTTTGTGTTTGTGTGAGCGGCGCGCCAATTAATGTGTTCTTTTGCAGTTTGAAGGAACTGTTGGCGTGTTGTTTTCTCTTTTTAGCTCTATGCATTCACAAAATCATCTCGCTCGTCTGGGCTTACTCATCATAATGCGCCAGAGACACAATATAATGGTAGGGTCCGATTACAATTAGAAGAACACAGCTACGTCATCATTTGGCAAAATAATTAATTGGTTATCGCCGCCTACTGGGGGTTTAATGGAGTGTTAATATTATAGGAATATAGGAAATATTTTTTTAACTAACAACTTATTAATTTTTACTTATTGGTAGTTATAGATAATTTGTATTCAAAATTCGAAGTAATGGTTATGACTTATGACATAGCTGTGTTCTTCCAATTGTAATCGGACCCTACTGGTAGGTATACTGTGTCAGTGCCACAGAGCGCAATAATGTACCAAAAATAGAGGTCTTCGGACTGAGCGCGGTGGCGTTTCGGCGTCGTCGATGCTTCGGAAAGATGACCAAACTTGATCATTTAGAGAAAGTAAAAGTCGTAACACCTGTTACTTCCTCTTAAAAAAAATGAAGAGGTAAAGGGAAATATTTCGATAGAATTAGTAGAGGTTGCGGACATGATGAAAACATATAAAGGGTGATTATATATTGTGCAGCGACCCCTTCGGGGACGCTGACGGGATGTTTCGTCCGGAAATCTCTCATACAAAATTGGTCCGAAAAAAAATGGCGCCCGACAAAAAATCCGTGTGCGTGGTGAGTTAAAGAGTGGCAAAGAGTGTTTAAAAAAAATTATTCATGTGTAATAAACCGTCGAAAAAGGATAACAAAATTTTCAAAACGTCATAAAAAGGTGACGACTAAGATCTCTTAAGTATCTGCCGTTTATGCAAACTCACTTCCATAGTGCACCCAAATCCCGGAAAAGGGACCCGTGCGATTTTTAGAGATTTTTCGCGGTTTCCAAGGAAACTGTCACACATATTTTAACGCCGATTTTTTTTCGGAAGCGTCCCGTGGGTATACAGCCTCCGTCCGAGTTTCATCGAAATCCATCCTTCCGTTCGGACGATACGATTTTTTAAAGTTGCCCGGAAACCCCTCATACGAAATTGGTCGGGAAAAAAAATGCGAAGGGTGTTTGGAAAAAATACTCAAAAAATTATTCGTTTCCATTAAAATGTCGAAAAACGATAAAGAAAATTTCAAAACGTCATAAAAAAGTGACAGTTGACGGGAGACAAAAAAGACCTTCATTCTAGCCGACCACGATGTCTTCAGCGTCTACCGTTTATGCAAACTTACTTCCATAGTGCACCCAAATCCCGGAAAAGGGACGTTTGGACGATTTTCGTGCGATTTTTAGAGGTTTTTCGCAGTTTCCATGGAAACAATCTAACAGATTTTGACGCCGATTTTTTTTCGGAAGCGTCCCGTGGGTATACAGCCTCCGTCCGAGTTTAATCGAAATCCATCCATCAGTTCGGACGGTACGATTTTTTAAAGTCGCCCGGAAACCCCTCATACGAAATGGGCGCGAAAAAAAATGGCGCCCGACGAAAAATTTGTTTGCGTGGTGAGGTAGAAAGAGGCGAAGGGTGTTTGGAAAAAATACTCAAAAAATTATTCGTTTCCATTAAAATGTCGAAAAACGATAAAGAAATTTTCAAAACGTCATAAAAAAGTGACAGTTGACGGGAGACGAAAAAGACCTTCATTCGAGCTGACTAAGATCTCTTAAGTATCTGCCGTTTATGCAAACTCACTTCTATAATGCACCCAAATCCCGGAAAAGGGACTCATAGGACGTTTGGACGATTTCCGTGCGATTTTTCCATGGAAACCGTTAAACAGATTTTGACGCTGATTTTTTTTCGGAAGCGTCTCATGAGTCCGCACCTTCGGTGCAAGTTTCGTTAAATTCCGTCTATTCGTTCTTAAGATATGATTTTTTTTGTGATTTTGGAAACCCTATTTTAAAAATTTTCTTAATAAAAAAAAATATTTCATTTGGCAATAATTAATTGGTTATCGCCGCCTACTGGGGGTTTAATGGAGTGTCAATATTATAGGAATATAGGAAATATTTTTTATAACTAACAACTTATTTATTTTTTATTTATTGGTAGTTATAGATAATTTGTATTCAAAATTCGAAGTAATGGTTATGACTTATGACGTAGCTGTGTTTTTCTAATTGTAATCGGACCCTACTGGTAGGTATACTGTGTCAGTGCCACAGAGCGCAATAATGTACCAAAAATAGAGATTAACACGTATGAAAATAAAAATATTAAATTTATATTTTTATGTAATTTTAAAATAATGTGTTTTTCTGAAATTTAACTGGGTGTTCACTGCACAAATGAACCAATGGAGAAACCGCCCCTGCCCATATGTGTTCTTAGTGATCTAGCAACCAAAATGCATAATGAGAGTATCAACGGGTCTTACCAGCAAGATAGGTTTTTTCTCAACTATAAAAACTGGTGACGAATTCTATATATCGGAAGTATCTACAATATATGTTCTAACGGACCGGCCCTCGCATAATTATGATTGAACTTTCTTACAGGTAAGTCGTTTAATCCTAAATACCAGCTTATTTACTAATCGGAAAAAGCCTTTTTAATGAGTTTTTTTTAAATTTTATTGAAAATATATCTTTGTTTTATTTATATAGCAATATGTCGATTTCGATTTTTCTTTTCGAAAAGTTAATTTGACCAAATTATAAAAAAAACAAAGTAATAAAAAAAACCCTTCCGTATACTAAGCCACGAGCAGCCACTGATAAATATTATACCACCTACTTCTCTGAGTTCCTTTTCAGTTCTAAGAGTCTCTCGGAAATGATGGACCACTTCTTGCGTCATAATAACGGACTTTTCGAGCTGATCCGCTCTGAGCTGAGCATCGATTTGTTCGCGTCGCTCGTTCTCCATGACCCTCTCCAACTCGTCAGCTCGCTTTTGCACCTCTTGCTCTATTTTCCTAGCTATTTCCGCTTCTTGTTGAATCCGGATTTCTTCGATTTCCTCTTTCTTCATGTTCGGTTTCTTCACCAACTAATAACAAGAAATAACTCGTTTTATTAAATCTGATTTGATGGTGATTCGGAAATATGCCAACCTTGATCATGGCTTCTTCTAGCAGAACAGCGGCTGCGCAGAAATATGATTAGATTGATGGTTAATTGGGGGTCGTTTATTATTTTCGATGGGTCTGAAAAACTAGCTATTTTTTTTAAATGCTAGGTTAGAGAAAGTTAGAAGATTTTGTCACCTTTTATTAAATTGACATTAGCATTAGTAATAACGTTTCTAGCTTAAACATGTTGGCTGCTTGAGAATATCTATCGTTGTGTGTTTATTCACATCAAATGGTTGCGTTTATATTATTCTCGAACAATTTTTAAATGATGATCTCATTTTAGGGATTGCACTTTAGGGCAACAATGTAATTCTATTATGATTTTCAGAGGTCAACTTACCGGGATAATTTTATTGTTTACGCTTCGTCGACGCTAAAATTTAAAAAGTTGAAAGAGTTTTCAGTTATGATGAGTATTCTCAACCAAGCTGTAGTAATGTGGATAACGTATCTCAGACGGCCAAAATCCCTTGCCCATACCAAATAATTAGTAAAACTGAAGATGAATATCAAACAACTAGTTTTGTGTCCAAGGAAAGTGACTCATCTGATAATGAAGTGTCAGGAATTACTGAATTTATAGATATGGAAGAAAATGATTCTGACATTGAAAATGTAGATGATGACCGAGACGCCGATTTTGTGCCCGAAGGTGAAAAATCTGACAAAAACGACCCATTTAGTGACAGTGACGATTCTGATAATGAGCCACTCATCAACAAAGTATTATCCAAAAGATGTAAGCCATCAAGTCCTGATAGGGAGAATAATAATAGTATGCGGCAAACAAAAAAAAAAGAAAAAGAATAAGCAGAGAATTGATGAAGAAAAAGAAATCAAAAGGGGAGGAATATATTAACCAGAAAAAGAGTTGTGAAACCAGCCAAAGAATTTGAGCCTGTCGCTACTTGTTGCAAATGTTGCAAATGTGTTGAGAGACTGTCACCAGAAGTACAAAAAAGTATTTTTGAGAACTTTTATAAAAATATCACTGACAAAGATCAGTTTCTAACTGACAGAATAAGATTCCCGAAAAAAAAAGTAGAAAGAAAAATTCAAGATACCAAAACCGAAAAAAGAAAGAATAGGGATATTACGGTCTCATACTTTGCTACCTTACCTGGCCACTGATCTGTATTATTTTACTGGATATGATATAGGCTATATTTAGCATACTAAAAAACCGTTCCACCAAGGAGACCGGAAGTGCAACACTGCTTTCCGATTTGGGCAAATTATGGTGGGATCACATAACTGAAATTTGGGATAATTTGACATACCTAACCTATAATTTGATTAGTTTTTCTTCTTATTCTTCTTATAGTCCTTTTGCGGGCGATGTCCTTCGGGATAATTCACCCAAAATTTTATTTTTTATGAAAGAAAATATAAAATATAAAAATGGAAACGTGAAGCATATTGTGTCTTCAGGAATGAACGTTTATTGTTTATTTCATAGTAATTCTATCCGATACTACCTATGTCATAGAATTTATTAATTCAATTCACTGTATTTGATCTAAATTGTCAAGTTGTTATTTCAGTCAGAGTTGTCAGGTTGATTTATTCAATAGTTTATGTTAATTAATATTAATGCTGTGTAAAGCCTTAATAAAGGTAAATCATTTACTTTGTTTAATTATTACAACAATTTACAGCATTAATATACAATGGATCGCATTTTACGTCCTCAAAGATTTGACCTCAATCCAGATGACGCAAACGCTTCTCAGGAGTGGAATCACTGGTTTAAAACCTTTCGTAACTTTATTTCTTCATCAGATATACAAGATACAGATATACTAAAGGTACTAACGAACTTTATATCTCCATCTGTTTACGAATATGTAAGTGAATGCGGAACTTACAGTGATGCAATTAGCGTTTTAAAGAACATTTATATAAAACCAGTAAATGAAGTTTTTGCTCGACATAAACTTAAGACCCGGCACCAGGAATCTGGAGAAACGATTGACGGGTATCTCGAATCTCTCAAACGCCTAGCTAAAGTCTGTAACTTTAAAGCTGTTACTGCAGAAATTAACAGAGATGAAAGTATTCGCGATACATTCATAGATGGTCTGCAATCATCATATATTCGACAGAGATTACTTGAAAATCAGACTTTAAGTTTAGATGACGCCTTCAAATAAGCAAGATCTTTTGAAGTTGCACAACATCAATCTCAAGAATATTTAACTCCCTCGATCAATGCGGTAGCTAGTAAAAATTCACCTTCTACTTCAATTACATCAAACGACCAAGCTGACAAAATATCTACATCTGATTCTGTTGATTATAAAACAACGGTAGCTGCTATAAGCTGTTACTTTTGCGGGTTAAGAAAGCACTATAGAACCGAATGTCCTGCTAGAGATGCAATTTGTAGATCATGTGGTACTAAAGTACACTGGCAAAAGGTCTGTAAGAAAAAGAATAGGACTGGAAGATCAAATCTGTCCAATCATCATTCTAATTATATATTTATTTACTAGATAATATTGTATTTACCGTTATTTTGTAAATAAATTATTATTATTATTATTATTATTATTATTATTATTATTATTATTATTATTATTATTATTATTATTATTATTATTATTATTATTATTATTATTATTATTATTATTATTATTATTATTATTATTATTATTATTATTATTATTATTATTATTATTATTATTATTATTATTATTATTATTATTATTATTATTATTATTATTATTATTATTATTATTATTATTATTATTATTATTATTATTATTATTATTATTATTATTATTATTATTATTATTATTATTATTATTATTATTATTATTATTATTATTATTATTATTATTATTATTATTATTATTATTATTATTATTATTATTATTATTATTATTATTATTATTATTATTATTATTATTATTATTATTATTATTATTATTATTATTATTATTATTATTATTATTATTATTATTATTATTATTATTATTATTATTATTATTATTATTATTATTATTATTATTATTATTATTATTATTATTATTATTATTATTATTATTATTATTATTATTATTATCTACTACGGCCATTAGCCTCGTGTTCTGTGTAGGCTTTGTTACTGTTTCCCAGCGCCACTTTAGGAACAGCACTGTTAATTAGAACCCAACAGTGAATGGTCGAGTGGGGAATCCTACCAAGGCATCAGAATTAATTTTAAATAATTAAATTAAATGAAAAAATCCCGGCCAACGGTGGGATTCGAACCTGAGACCTTCCGATCTCAAAGTCATGACTCTAACCACTGAGCCAACCCACCCCCCCTATTATTATTATTATTATTATTATTATTATTATTATTATTATTATTATTATTATTATTATTATTATTATTATTATTATTATTATTATTATTATTATTATTATTATTATTATTATTATTATTATTATTATTATTATTATTATTATTATTATTATTATTATTATTATTATTATTATTATTATTATTATTATTATTATTATTATTATTATTATTATTATTATTATTATTATTATTATTATTATTATTATTATTATTATTATTATTATTATTATTATTATTATTATTATTATTATTATTATTATTATTATTATTATTATTATTATTATTATTATTATTATTATTATTATTATTATTATTATTATTATTATTATTATTATTATTATTATTATTATTATTATTATTATTATTATTATTATTATTATTATTATTATTATTATTATTATTATTATTATTATTATTATTATTATTATTATTATTATTATTATTATTATTATTATTATTATTATTATTATTATTATTATTATTATTATTATTATTATTATTATTATTATTATTATTATTATTATTATTATTATTATTATTATTATTATTATTATTATTATTATTATTATTATTATTATTATTATTATTATTATTATTATTATTATTATTATTATTATTATTATTATTATTATTATTATTATTATTATTATTATTATTATTATTATTATTATTATTATTATTATTATTATTATTATTATTATTATTATTATTATTATTATTATTATATAGCTTCCATGTCGACTTGTTTGAAAAATGCAATTGTTTCTGTTTCTATAAATGGTTCAATGGCTTTTGGACTGATAGATACAGGAAGCTCAGCTAGTTTTATTAGTGAAAATAAAGTTCACAAACTCAATATTCCTATTATTCCGAGTAAAAGCGAGAACGTATCTATGGCTTCTACTTCTCTTTATTCTTCAATCAAGGGACGATCCAAAATAAACCTTCATTTACAAGGACATGACTACAAAGACCTCATAGTATTCTTCCAAATCTCTGTTCAGATATTATTGTTGGACATGATATATTAAAACGACATTCTTGTGTACAAGTACAATTCGGTGGAGAAGAATCACCTCTTAATATATGCAATATTGCAGTAGCTAATCTAGAGCCAGCAAAACTTTTCATAAATCTATCACCTAACTGTCGTCCAATTTCTACTAAATCTCGTAGACATACCGTTTCTGATATAAAATTTATTGAATCTGAGATCGAACAATTACTAAAAGAAGGAATAATAGAAGAAAGTATTTCACCTTCGCGAGCGCAAGTATTGGTAGTATCATTAGGAAATCATCGTCGTAGAATGGTTGTTAATTACTCTTAAACAATTAATCGATAGATTTAGATGCCTTCCCGTTACCTCGAATTGACGACATTGTCAATAAAGTTGCCTCTTATCGGTTATACAGTTCTGTTGATCTCCGAAATGCATACTATCAGATACCAATCAGTGAAAAAGACAAATCTTATACAGCGTTTGAAGCTTGTGGTAAGCTATACCAATTCACAACATGCTATGAATAGTACAATTTCGGCTGAAGGTCTAGATGGTGTTCAGGTTTACTTAAAAGATATAACAATTTGTGGAAATAATCAAGATGAGCATGACAAACATTTAAAAAAATTTATGGATGCTGTAACAAAATACAATTT